AAAAAAAAAAAAGAAAAAACAGAAAAATATATGTAGGACTTTGAAAGCTTAAAAAAGAGGTAAACATACACTGTTTTGGGGTATTATCTCTGAATTTTTGGAGATTTTAATTTTTCCTTTATACTTTTCTGAGCTTTCCAAGAACATGTATTTTTACAATTGGAAAATTCAGAAAAGAATAAATGTTGCAAAGATGTAGAATTCTGGCTGCCCATGGTGGTTCACACCTGTAATCCCAGCACTTTGGGAGGCCAAAGTGGGAGAACTGCTTGAGGCCAGCAGTTTGAGACTAGCCTGGGCATCATAGGAAACCCTATCTCTAAATAAAAAAACAAAAAATGATGTAGAATACCACCCCTCCCAACACCTGCCACACACCCACAGCAGCAACAACAAAGCCTCCTAAAAACAAAGAACATCATTTGAGTGAGAAGTAAGTTGGCACCTGAGTTCAAGTTTGTCTACCTGGATAACTTGTCTGAAGAATGAAATGGTGGTAAACTGCAGCTAAACAAGCCAAGGGCAGCTGGTAAGAGGACACTGTGAAGGTACTGGCTTGGGATTTTCCCAGAATTGTGATAAACAAAATATTATATGAGAAAGATAATTTTTGTATCCTAGGCCAGAATAATTGAAACAGGCTAGTAAAAATGCTGTTAGTATGGTTTTGAAGTGGTTAATATCTTGGTCAGGGTATTGAGTGAGAAACAGAGTGAAGGGGTGACTCCTAAAATGTTTCAATGACAAAATCCTCAGGGAATAGTGATGGCTTAGATGGAATTAGAGATTATACCAAGACCATACATGTTGAAAGACTAGAAGTTCTCTTGACACAAGAGAAGTTGGTGAAGAACCATTTTGACAAAAGCAATGAATGTGATGATATACAAATTCTATTGCCATTATTTAGAATCAGAATTCCAATGTTTTAGTCCTAATTCCTCTATTTGCTTTCTTTTTTTTTTGAGACAGAATCTCACTCTTGTCGCCCAGGCTGGAGTGCAGTGGTGCAATCTTAGCTCACTGCAACCTCTGTCTCCCAGGTTCAAGCAATTCTCTTGCCTCAGCCTCCTGAGGACCTGAGACTACAGGCACACACTGCCATGCCCAGCTAATTTTTTGTATTTTTTAAGTAGAGACGGGGTTTCACTGTGCTGCCCAGTCCGGTCACAAACTCCCAAGCTCAGGCAATCTGCCCACCTCAGCCTCCCAAAGTGCTGGGATTATAGGTGTGAGCCACTGTGCCCAGCCTTTTTTAGACAGAGCCTTACTCTGTCACACAGGCCAGAGTGCAGTGGTCCGATCTTGGCTCACTGCAATCTCCACATCCTGGGTTCAAGCAATTCTAGTGCCTCAGCCTCCCAAGTGGCTGGGATTACAGGCATGCGCCACCACGCCCATCTAAATTTTTGTATTTTTAGTACAGACTGGGTTTCACCATGCTGGCCAGGCTGGTCTTGAACTCCTGGCCTGAAGTGATCTGCCTGTCTCGGCCTCCCAAAGTGCTGGGATTGCAGGTGTGAGCCACTGCGCCCAACCCCCTATTTGCTTTCTGATCTTTGTCAAAATATCTAACCTTTTTGGGCTTCGATTTCTTTTATTTTCATAATGGTAATATCAATTTCTACTTCACAGGGCTGTTTTAAATAAATCAGAAAGCACATAAAAGCTCTTCTGTTCTTAACAGGCTGGACGTGGTGACTTACACCTGTAATCCTACCACTTTGGGAGGCTGAGGCAGGCGGATCACTTGAGGCCAGGAGTTTGAGACCAGCCTGGCCAACATGGTGAAACCCCATCTCTACTAAAAAATTACAAAAATTACTTGAGTATGGTGGTGGGTGCCTGTAGTCCCAGCTACTCAGGAAGCTGAGGCAGGAGAATTGCTTGTACCCAAGAGACAGAGTTTGCAGCAAGCTGAGATCATGCCACTGCACTCCAGCCTGGACAATGGATTGAGACTCCATCTCAGAAAAAAAAAGCGCTTAACATAATGCCTGGCACATGCACTCAAAAATGTTTCATAAACATGGTAATATTACCATTGGGGAACTGGTATAAAGGGGACATAGGACATACTGGCACATTTTTTGAAACTTCATGTAATCTATAATTGTTTACAAATAAAAAGTTAGAAAATATATTAGCTATCTCGTCTGGGAATTGTACTGTGTCATTGTGCTAATATTTTTCTCACCAAAAGAAGGAACCAAGGACCAGGGACACAGAACAATTTGTTACAAAGAATTACAGAGAAGTGAAATGAGAATGGAAGTGATTTCTTCTGAATCATATTACCACAGAGCAGCCTTAACGTTAAGGGAGTTTAGAATCAAGGCAGTTGGCCAGGTGCGGTGGGGAGGCCAGCACTTTGGGACGCCTAGGCGGGTGGATCACGAGGTCAAGAGATCGAGATCATCCTGGCCAACGTGATGAAACCCTGTCTCCACCAAAAATACAAAAATTAGCTGGGCATGGTGGCGCACACCAGTAGTCCCAGCTACTCGGGAGGCTGAGGCAGGAGGATTGCTTGAATCCGGGAGGTGGAGGTTGCAATGAGCCGAGATCGTGCCACTGCACTCCAGCCTGGTACCTGGTGACAGAGTAAGACTCTGTCTCAAAAATAAATAAATAAATAAATAAATAAATAAAGGCAAAGGCAGTTAACCACTGAACTTATCTGGGTTTGAATATGTGGTTTGCTATGGTTTATTTCCTGGTTCAACTTGGCTCATTCATTTAGATTCAGAATAATAAACATTTAAACGTTTAAAATAATAAGCATGGAAAATGATAAGCATTTCCTCCACACGTACTCTGTGCCTGGCATTGTGGTAGGCTCTTCCACAATGCTTTAAATGCAATTGCAACTAAATCTTTCTGAATTATAAGAGAAAGGCACAAAGGAAATTTACTACGCCCACTCTAATCCATTTAGTGCTCACTGTTTAAACATCTTTGTTTTCTCTTAATGAAATTAAAATGTGTGGAACAAATGGTTGAGTGGGGAATCCTTTTGGCTTTACTAACCTGGAGCACTGGGAAAAACATGGGAGTAGGGAACATGGTGGATAAGAAACAGACGATTTATTTTCCTTTACACTCAGTTTACAGTAGTTATTCCAGTAGGATGCACTATTTTGTTCAGAAAAAGCTGATGCTAAGAAACTTGGAGCTGTCGCTGATGACCTTGGGACACAGCTGAAGTTGTGTTGCATTCTGGGGGCAGTGTTCAGCTCCTGTAAATGGAGAAAGAACAGGTTGAATCAAGATAACTCTGGATAGAGCTCCGTTCTGTTGGTATTTTTCCCCTCTATTCTTTCTTAAGGACAGTGTGAGAAAATGTCTCTTTAGCTGATGTGAATAAAGAGAGCAAATATCTTTGAAAAACTATGAAAGGACGAGGAAAGGCTAAGCCTTCACATTCAGAATATCATCTTGACAGGGAGCTTTAAAGTGGGATAGACGAAGCATAGCGAGGAGGACAAGCAAAATTTCACAAAAATATTTACCTTTATGCAATTTATAGAAATGTATAGTAGGCTTTAGGTAAGAGATTGATGATTAATTTAAAAAAATTTTTTTTTTTTTTTTTTGAGACAGAGTCTCATTCTGTGTCCCAGACTGGAGTGCTGTGGTGCAATCTTGGCTCACTGCAACCTATGCCTCCCGGGTTCAAGCGATTCTCCTGCCTCAGCCTCCCAAGAAGCTGGGATTATAGGCATGTGCTACCACCCCCAGCTAATATTTTGTTTTTTAGTAGAGTCAGAGGTTTCAGCATGTTAGCCAGGCTTGTCTCGAACTCCTAACCCCAGGTGATCCACCCGCCTCAGCCTCCCAAAGTGCTGAAATTACAGGCCTGAGCCACCACACTGGGCCTAAAAATTTGTTCTTCTTATTTGAAAATGAGTCTATGACAGACATTTTGTCAACCTGGCTCCAAAAAAAGGGAGAAATGAATGTTAAAAAATTGTTTAATGTGCTCCTTTCAGTAGCACTTATACTAAAGTTGAACCAATACAGAGAAGATTAGCATGGCCCCTGTGCAAGGATGACACGCAAATTCATGAAGCTTTCCATTAAAAAAAAGTAAAAAAAAAATTTGTTTAAAAATCATTTTTATCACAAAAATATTTCTCCATTTTTCAGACTGTTTTTCTTTTCATCATTTAAAACAGTAAATAATAGGTCTGTCTTTATGTACTTTCAGTTTCAGGAACAATTCTGAAGAAAAAAGTAAATGGTTCAATCACTGATACAAAAATGAACAAACATGATAGTGGCAAACAATGTCAGGTGAGTTTTTGGGGGTGTTGTTTGTTTATTAGCAATGTTTTTCCCCATGATATTTTTAAATATTTCTGGTTGAAAAGCCAAACACATTAATTTCCAGGGCTCGTTGGCTGCTAAGAAAAACTGTCATTGTGGCCAGGCACAGTGGCTCATGCCTGTAATCCCAGCACTCTGGGAGGCTGAAGCAAGCAGCTCACCTGAGCCCCGGAGTTTGAGACCAGCCTGGGTAACATGGCAAAACCCCGTCTGTACAAAAAATACCAAAATTAGCTGGATGTGGTGGCATCCACCTGTAGTCCCAGCTGCTCAGAAGGCTGAGGTGGGAGGATTGCTGGAGCCCAAGAGGTGGAGGCTCCAGTGAGCTGAGATTGCATCACTGCACTCCAGCCTAGGTGACAGAGCAAGACCCTGTCTCAAAAACAAACAAAAACTCTTTCATTATCATTTGGAAGAGGACTTATTCTTTAAAATGCAGGCCCTACTACTGACATAGTTGGATGATACTTTTAGAAAAGTGACTTAGGACACTCCCCCTATATTTTACACATTTCAGTAGCAGAGCAGGATAACAATTCAGACCACCTGTGTGCTCTAACCACGGACATCACACAGCTCTGCCATCCACAAGCTGCACTGTAAATAAAATTGGGGTAAAGGTACGTAGAATGATTGCCATTATTTGTTTAAATGTTATTTCTTATAAGAAGGGAACAGAGTACAGTTTGTAAATACTGGTTTAAAAACTCCTTTCTTTTAGAAAGGAGAAAGTGAAATGTAAAAAACACATACTTGTGCTGAACCATGAATGATAGTGTCACTGAAATACCTAAAAACCATACTGCTTAAAGGCACTTCCTGCAATGTGTAAGTCAGCTAAGATGATAATCAAATGCACAGCTCTTAAATATAGAAAAATGATACAGATCCTCCTCCTTTGCTGCCCTTCCCACAGAATACTGAGATAAAACTTATTGAGGCCTAGCTACCAAAGGCAGAATTAGTTGTCTCATATCCTAGGCTAGCATTTGGTATATAACCCCTATTTTATCATGATTACTGGGAATTGTGTCTAATTTGACTGTATAGATGAAGACAGTTTTCTTTGTCTTCGTGCATCCAGTGACTGACGCACAGTTGGCACTCTGTAGATTTTGTATTGTTGCAGTGAGATCACTAGTTAGTATAAAGAGTTGATGTGGGCCACGTTTGGTGGCTTACACCTGTAATCCTGGTGCTTTGGGAGACCAAGGCTCGAGGATTGCTCAAGACCAGGAGTTCAAGACCTGCCTGGGCAAAACAGAATTACGTCCCTACAAAAAAATTTTTTTTAATTTAAAAAATTAGCCAAGTGGAGTGGCCTGCGCTTTTAGTTCCATTTACTAGGGAGGCTGAGATGCGAGGCTCTCTCAAGCTAAGGGCTTCCAGGTTACAGGGAGTTATGACTGTGCCACTGCATTCCAGCCTGGGCTACAAGGCAAAATTCTGCCTCTAAAAAAAATTTTTTTAATGAAAAAAAGAGCTGATTTGACTCTTTTTTCTCCCATTTACCCAGAATTGCTAAAGTGGTACATACTGACAAGGTAGCTCAGCAGGGCCGAACTCTCAGGGGTTGAGTTAGTCTAGAGACAGATTTCTGTTGGTAGTTGTGAATTTCTAACTCCTTTGTCATTCTAAGAGTGTCAGCTGAATTTACATAAGGACATTCAGCAAAGAAGGAAGAGAAATGGCCTTTAGTTTTAATTATTTTATACTTGAGAAAATTAGATACACACTTGGAGTTATGGGGTCTGATTTTTACTACGCCTAGAAATTTCATACAGATTATATAATCTGTCTTTCTATCTTGTTAGTAATATCTCATAGGGATTTTTTTTTTGGACTAGCTATGTGTAGAACCCATATTATTACACAGATTTAGGAATCTTAGAGGATCTGATTCCTTAATGTCTGAATCTTCAATGGCATTAAATGCCAATACATTGTCCTTGGTCAAGAATACAAAGCATAAAGGAACAAGCTAATTAACTATTTAGAATTCCCTCTTCTAAGAGACCACACGGCCAAAGTGGCATCATGACACAGCTTGGTGTTTTGTTGGTCGCTTTAGGAGACGACCATTTTGGAGGCCTTGGGTAGAGCTGGAGACAGAGCCATGGAGGTAGAACGGTGTCGGAAAACCTGGTTTAGCCCCACTTTGTACCTGGGCGCTTGAGCTAATCGCTTCAGTCATGTAAAACAACAAGACTAATAAAGTCTGGGATACAGACTTGAACAGCTCAAGTGCTGCCAAAAGTATTTAAGAGACAAAAGCGAATCATAGGCGCCTTTCCCCAATCACCTCCTAGACCTTAAGAACCGTGCTAGGTTCCCTACATTCTTCGTTTAATGCCAATAACCCCACGAGGCAGATATCAGCTTCATTCTCCACATGGGCTCCAGTCCCACCAACTAACTGGCTTAATCAGTATCTGACCCCAGGCCTGCCAGCGTTCCCGCTGGTGGACTGCCCTCCATGTCAGCTCGAGTTAGCAGGACGTGGGAGTAAAAACCCGGCGGCCCAGCCTTCAGCGTGCTGCACGAGGAAGCTGGCTGGACAGGCATGACTTTGTCAGTCAACCACCCCGCAGCCGGGCCCTGGGCTTTGTTAGCAGCCACTTGGCGAGGGCTCCGGGCGGTTGGGGAGGCGGCGCTTCCTCCAAACGGAGGTGGGACCCCGGCCCCGCCGACCTCGGAGCCGCCCCCGGCCCCGGATCGCCGACAACGTACGTGCAGGCCTGGGGATGGGGCGCGGGCGGCAAGCGCGCCCGCCGAGAAGGCTGCGGCCGGCGGGGCGGTGGGCGAGGCCGGTGACCCAATAAAGCGGCGGGGCAGCGGGAGGCCCCACCCGGCCGGGTTCCGGCACTTGCCGCAGGGTCCCGGCCGGCGCCAGCTTGCGCGCCCCTGTCCGCATCGCTCGGCGTGAGGGCGGCTCGGGCCGAGGGTGTGAGGGCGCGCCGCCGGGCCCAGGCCCGGCCTGGAGCTGGGAAGGCGGGAGGCGGGAGCGCCGGCCACGCGGGAGCCGCGCGGAGGGGCAGGCGGGGCGGGGCGCGGCCTCGGTCCCCGGCGTCCGGGAACCGCGCCGCCCGCTGCAGGCCCGGGCCCTCGGCCCGCCCCGCGCGCGCGCGCGCCCCCGCCAGCCCGGCCCTCCTCCTCCCCGCCGCCCCTCCCGCGCGCGTCCACCGGCTCCCCGGCTCGCGCCGCTCCATGTAGCCCCGGATCCCCGGGCGGCCGCGGAGGAGGGGGCGACCACAAGATGGCGGGTACGTGGCCCCCTGTTCTCCGTGCGGCTGCTGCGGCGGCGGCGGCTCCCCGCGCCCACCCGTCCTCAGCTGCCGCCCTGAGTAGCGGCCGGGCCGGGGCCGGCGCGGGGTCCGGGCGCGGGGAGGCGCCGCCGGGGCGGGAGGGAGGGCGGCGGGGGCGTCGCGCCGGGCCCCGGGGCGCTGACCGGGCCTTTCTTCTCTCCCCTCGGCGCAGACCTCTCGCTGCTCCAGGAGGACCTGCAGGAGGACGCGGACGGATGTGAGTGGCCCGGCCTCGCGGTGGCTCGGCAGCCGGCGGGGAGCGGCCGGGGAGGGCGGGCGGCGGCGCGGCCTGGGCCGACTAAGGGGACGCTGGGCGAGGGCGGCCCCGGGCGGGCCAGGGTAGAGATTTGGGGGGAAAATCGCGCGTCCGTGAGGAAACGGCGCGCCCTGGTTCCGCTGGGGGAGGGAGACGCCGCGAGTAACGCCCAAGTTCGCTTTCCGCCTTTCGTTCTCTTCTCCCGGCGCCCCCGAATCGCCCGCGGGCTCCGCATTGGCGAGGCCGTCGGTTTCGGAAGGAGAAGCAGGTGGGGCAAGATTTGAAGTGGGGTTTGGGGTGTGTTTCTGCCCCTGGTGTCCCCCTTCCCCCGTCACTTTAGGAAGGAAGAGGCTCGCGCGGGAGGTGTGTTTCCTTGGAGTCGCTCTCCAGGAGCTCCCGGGGGCCGTCTGGGCTCCCCGAGCCCGTTTCGGATCCTCTGAGGATGACATACCTGTCATTTTACTTTGGCTTGTGGCAGTTTTTAGATTGTTCCCGGTTTGATTTGTGGATTACAGAAAGGTTAGAAGGTGTGGCCTCGTCAGGAATTACTGCGTTTAGAGAGCACATTTCTTTAATGCAGATGTTCAGAAATCACCCAACCCTCCTTCAGTGTTAACAGTACAGCTTTCCTTTGAGGTACTGAAGTTTTTAGAGTTGACTCTTTTATTTTTTAAAACAAAATTTTTGACGTTGTTTCCTGATGGCGACGGAATTGATAACTTAGAAAGAATTTTTCTTCTTATCTGTACTTTTCTAAGCCTCAGAAAACAACTTGGGTCACGACAGGGAAGACAAAGAGTTAGGTAAGTTTGTATAGAAAGAAGTGACAAATTGCAGTTAATTTAAAATAGTTTCTATTCATGCAAATCTTCCAAAATAGTGACCCATCAAAAAAATCACTCGGTTTTGAGATGCGTTTTAAAAATGAAGAATGTGCAAAATGTGTAAGCGTAGATCTTCGGATACATAAGGGACCAAGAGATTGTTCTGAGATGATCACCGTAGTAGAATTGTGGTCTCTTTAGTGGAAAGCCTACTGGATGTCGTGATTGACTGTGTAATACCTGTGTAAATAATTCAGAGATGGCTGCAGTTTGAAATTACTCTCTTAAATACTCTGTAGTTAGTCCTTAGCATTGTCTAATGTGGTTCCCTTACTCAGATTAATCTTAATTTTTAGATTCCTGGGTAAGGGGGATTTACTATTTAGATGGATTATCTGAAATGAGTAATTTGTCTTTAAAGTAAATGAACCACATCCAAACTTTTGCCAACCAAACTTTCGCCAAGTCTGTATTTTTAGTGGGGTGGCTCTAAACAGCTTTCTTAAAGGGAGCAATACTCATGTAGTGAAGGGCAGCTTTAACGTTTTGTTTAATGTTTACTCTTAGGCCACTTCTCTGCCTAATAGTAAGTTTGAGATATTATTTAAGGCAGCTATTGACTTCAGATCTCTTGCCAGGTTAGGATTGGAGAAGTGGTCCTGATTATGTTATCTCGAGGAGGGCTTTTTATATTTATGTTCAATATAAATATAAGATTCATTCATTCAGCAAGTATTTATGACTGTGTGGAGCAAAAACTTCTTACTCCTGAAGGGTGAAATGCAGTGTCAGTTTCTTCCCTGGCCCCCAAGAAGCGCAGTGTAGAGGGGAAGGCTTACCTGTGAAAAATTCAGCCATGAGTTTAAAGACTCTGCTGGGTACTGGGGATGGAGCTGTGAGAAGGATGGGCACAACCCATGCCCTCTAGTGGTTTACTAGCAGTTTGAATCTGGGTGTACAGTACAGTATCATAGTTATAGACTGGAACCAGGCTGCTCTGTTCGTCTTAGCAGTGTCTTTTGGGGCAGACTGGGGCAACTCACGTAACCGCCCTAAGCCTCAGTTTTATCATTTGTAAACAGGCATGAGAAATATTACCTACTTCCTCGAGTTGTTCAGGGATGTATGTGAGTTAGTGCCTGTGAAGCACTTGGAACAATTCCTGGTAAACAGTGATGACTATGATTATGTTTGCTCTTATGAGAAAAGAGCAAGGGAAACTTAAAAGAAGAGCAGAGAAGGAAACACTGATGTTGAACCTCACAGAATGAAGGTACTTACAGATGCTGCCAATGCTTGCAACTTTTTTTTTTTTTTTTTTTTTGAGGTGGAGTTTCGCTCTTCTTGCTCGGGCTAAAGTGCAATGGTGCAGTCTCAGATCACAGCAACCTCTGCCTCCCGGGTTCAAGCGATTCTCCTGCCTCAGCCTCCGAATAGCTGGGGATTACAGGCATGTTTCGCCATGCCTGGCTAATTTTGTATTTTTAGTAGAGATGGAGTTTTGCCATGTTGGTAAGGCTGGTCTAGATCTCCCCACCTCAGGTAATCTGCCCACCTTGGCTTCCCAAAGTGTTTGGATTACAGGCATGAGCCAGTGCACCTGGCTGCAACTAACTTTTTAAAGAGTCTGTTTTCTATGCATTTTAATTTAGGATAAAACAGACATTGAAGGCATAATAGCTATTTACATCTTTATAATTTGGTTGAAGGCTTTGTTAGAGTAATTGCTTATTTTTCTCAGTTACTAAAGTTTTTACAGGTGATACCTTTACCCAGAATATTCAGGAACAAAGGACCCTTGGACATACGGCCAGTTGAAGGACCACTTCCCATCTCTTGTGAAGGGAAAAAGAATGAGGAGGAATACTGGCCATGGTGCCTCCTTAGAGAGCACGATGGTAAGGGAGTGAGAAAGCTGTCACATCCTGGAGTAGCTGAAGAAGGTAGAGGACCCGACTTGCAGAGGGAATGGAGCTTGGGATGCCCTTACAACACGAAGCCTGAATTTTTCTGTCTATGACAAAACACCAGAGTATGGAGGTCAACCTCCAGAGTAGTTGTAAACAAGTCCTACTACTTTAGCCAAGCTAGGTGTAGGTTGGCCCTTGGTATGGGAAGAAATTATTTTCTGGTCAAGCTCCAGAATCTTGGTAGTGCATCCTAAATGCAGAACTTGGACTATGAGGGAAGAGAGAGTAAGTTCTTCTGTACAGATAATCTAGGAAAGGACCTGGCTGGTGTCTAGGACTTGAAAGCTGGGCATTGCCAGACATTGGTAAGAGTCTCAGGTCTTTTGATTTGACTTAAGCCCCTGTCTCTGTACAGAGGCATAGAGCTGGGGAAAGTGTTGGTCAAAGACTAACTTGATTGGTATCTTTGGAGGAAAAAAAATCCTAATGGGGGAAAAATTGATGGTATTGTGTATATATATCAAAAGGTCGTAAAGGTAAGTAAATGACATCACTATTAGATACTACTAAGTTTAGGAGAATAATGCAGTAAAAACTATGTGTATGTATTTAAGTTTAAAAGTGATACTTTAAATACTGTATCATGAAATACTTTGAATTTCAAATTGAAAGCAAACCACTGACTTCATTTGGATATAGGTTATCAGTAGATTTCAGAGTTGGGTAAACCCCTTATAAGTTGTTTTGTTTTGTTTTGTTTTGTTTTTGAGACAGAGTTTCGCTCTTGTTGCCAAGGCTGGAGTGCAATGGTGCGATCTCAGCTCACAGCAACCTCCGCCTCCCGGGTTCAAGCGATTCTCCTGCCTCAGCCTCCTAAGTAACTGGGATTATAAGCATGTGCCACCATGCCCAGCTAATTTTGTATTTTGTATAGAGACAGGGTTTCTACATGTTGAGCAGGCTTTGAACTCCCAACCTCAGGTGATCCACCTGCCTTGGCCTCCTAGAGTGCTGGGATTACAGGCGTGAGCCACTGTGCCTGGCCCCCGTTTTAAGTTTTTATAGCTAATTATGTTCCTTGAATAATGGGAGACAATAAAAAATTGTAGATGTTTAGAGAAAATTATTTCAGATTTCTATTTTAATTTCCAAAGATGCAATTTTGATTCACATTAAGTTGCTAGATTCCTAAAATGAAGTAAGACTTAAGATACAGTTAAGATTTGGTGAGCTAATGCTTCTAAAAATAATTTCATTGAAGGAGTTTTATTAAAATTTAAACTTTTATCAAAGTAGTATGTTGAAGAATGTTCTTTTTAAAGAATGGCTATGTAACAGTAGTTTACAGTGCCTTTCATACACAGGTTATTCTTCACAGCAGTCCTGTGATGTGTATGCTGTGGTATTCTAATAAGTAAGTTGACTAACATCCAAAGGGAACTAAAGAAACAAAACTCCTAAGTTTAGATAGAAGTTAAAGCTAGGCCTTCTGATTCTAAATATCGTATTTTGAATATTTTCTTTAATCACCCACTTTAAAATATTGATCAACCCAAACTTGTATAGGCAATTTGAACTCATTCTTAAAGAACCCTTGAAAGTTAATCTAGGATGCTGCATGTGGTTTAGTTTACACCTGGAGAATGATAGAGAGGATGGAGCTTGGGTATAATACAGCTTATTTAGTAGTTTTTAACTTTTATTTCAGTTATAACTAAGTATGACGTTGAAAAGTTTTTGAAGCTATGTTACTGAGTATGCCATACGACAAATTTTTTCATATTGAAGTTTTGGAATCCTTTTACATTACACTGTTTTTTTGGGTTTAAGGGCAATGTTGAGGTAGAGTGAAGGATGTGTGTAGAACTAACTGAGGGTAACTGCCTGGACCACACTCCGTGCAGAATCTCTAGGCCTTCCGACCACTTTTCAAAATCAGTTCTGATAAGCTTTGAGTCCTTGCTACTGGGGGAGGTGCGGAGCAAAATATTGGGACTGTATCTGGTAGCGGCCAGGGAATCATTCAGGAACCTTAGTAAGGTGCCCTTGAACATGAATAATATTTAGGAATATTGTTAAATAGGGATTTGTAAGGGCGAGTCATGAGACTTGGTAGCCTGTTTTGACTGCTGTCAACAAGCCTGGATGGAGAAATCTTTATTTAGAGATAATATAATTGATATCCTAGCAAAGAGTGCTTTTAAAATGGTTTCAGTGGTACTCACAT